ACGACTAATGGAATTACTCGTGAATAACAATAGTAGACATGTAGTAAGTACGATAAATCCATTACAGACTCAAGTGCATATGTTTTCTGCAATCAAGGATGTAAGGCTACAATGAATGCAATTGCCATTGGCGATGTTGAAAGAATTGTTGTATACACAACGATACATCTGCGGACCACTATAAAGGACTTGATATATACGATACATTATCTACAAGTAGATACGAAAAGAGCCGCAATGAGTGCAAATACTTTGGTTGGATGTAGAGAGGCTTCAACAAATGCAATACCTTATAACCAACAACAATGTGCAAGTAAATATATGAAATCCTTAAATAACATTGTTGGTAGTTAATGTGTGGAGTTCGTATGAGTCATGCAAGAAGACAGGGTAGCCCCCACTACATTTGTTTGCAAACATTGACAGGAGTTTATAAGGAGTGCATTAGCTTACTTGTAGATAACAATGATGTGATACAGGTGAATGTCAATACACTGCATTGTCCCTATTAGGATTAATGATCAATGTTTGACAAATGTGCTGTTAAAGATCAATGCAAATCTTGGTGATCTAAACTCACAACTGCAAATAAAGAATACATACGCCATTCCAACCATCTCAAGGGCTACAACAATTATTTTCACTACGAAGTCCACTCAAGGCAGTGACCACTGATTTTGATGTATAAGATATTAGCGAGGACACAGTCATCCAAGGTTGAAATGATTAGACGTTTATTTAAGCCAACAAAAAAAAATGATGATGATGACATAATCAAGGAGTTGCCCACTAATTACTATACGAGTTCTGGGAAGAGAAAGCCAGATCAAATCTTTATAGAGTGAGTGAATTTCAGTTCAACCAGATTTCAACCATTGAGTTGGATAAGAATATTGAGGCTTCCAAGCTTCTTAATGAAAGATGGTCCTGCACACGATCCACAAACAAATACATAAGGACTACGACGAACACAGACTCCTGTAAGCTGTTGTAGGAGACTCATATTATATCTGCCAAATATCAAAAAATGCCCCCGCACATGCACCGTAGTTTGTATACACATAGGTACACAAAGGGGTAAATACAATCATAACCCGCATGGGCCCCGACGAGCGTGTTATTGGTACACACGTGATATCTAGGGATGCTGCGCGGGTCAATAAGTGAATTCAAGTTCGAACTCGATCCTGCTATATGGACCAATAAGAGTCGACAGGATTCGAACCATCAAACAAATATACGGTGGTGGCAACCAGTATATTTGTTTTAATACATTCATATTAGGCCTTCAAGGCCTACAATCAAGAGAATTCACTAACAAAGGCATGAAACCTGTGAAACCCGATCCAATGTCGATAACTCGATGGAGTTGACAAGGTTCAATCCATAAATGGCAATGACTCCAAACACCCTGATGATGACCGTGTTGAATGTTTATCTCAATCAGAGGGTTTCACAAATATTATTTCAAAATGCCATCCCAAATACCTAAAACTCCACAGAAAATAAAAAAAAATTCAAAATTCCAGAATTTCCAAAATCCAAGATATTTAAATTTGAAATCAACCATCAAAATACTTAGAGCAAAATCCATCTACCCTTCGCAACAGTTTATCGGGGTGGACAAATTAGAATTTGCTCACATGGAGCTATTGCCTAGTCGAAAATATCACTAGGATCCATTCTCAAACAATCTTCTGCCAATAAGAATGTGGTACATGTCCTCTGACCGGCGGTTTTGCCTCCAAATGGCACCGCAGGATAAACGGTTATGACTCGGGGCCTTTTGAACCGAGTGGTTTGGCGCCACGAAATATCAGTTATGGCCAGAGCTAATACGTTCCTTAGTGGCATCAAATCCTTGAGATATGAATTAATAGGATATGATCGATAGGGCACAAAGCTCTCTGTTAGCTAAGGTGGATTCAAATTTGTCCCCTTAGGTAAACATCCACCCCAGGTTTACAAGGTCCTACGAAGCAACTCATGGCTATCGACAAGGATCCTTCTGTCAGGTTGGGTTGACTACCTCCTCTGACTAAGTAGACCAGGGACCACGATGGCCCGAGACGACGGAACCATGGGATCTTGATCGGGTCCATCATCCATTCCCCACCATTCGCTTTAAGTGCAAGATGGTGAAATTTTCAATTTTAAATATCAAACTTCCCAAATATTTCAACCCAAATTTCCAAACATCCAAACTTTTCAAATCCTTATGCCTATGCTGCTACTATATGCTAGATAACACATATATTCTATGTATCTGACTGACGACTAGTCTTAATCGAAAGTTCTCTCTCGTGATCGGGAGGGGTAATTAACTATAGGGGCTTGCGCCTATAGGAAACCAGAACTCAGATCGTAAAGTCCTCGTAAAATGAGGGCGAAATCTTTGGGTATTGTCTTATTTACAAACTCATCTGCCTTCCAAAATTTACCCCGGAACTAAATTCGTTAAAACTCCCTCGCCGAAGAAAAAACATCAAGTTGGCGGAGGCCGGGGCCGAATTTTCGGAGCCCACATTCACCTACATATACTTAACGCACGTAAGTTGTCATTTCTATGTAGAATCAATCTTTTAAAATGCTTATCTTCTTTAGAATGTTTGAGTTTAACACTAATTCAGTTAAAAAAAAATTCTGCAGTGTCATGTGCCCGGACTTCTTAGACCGATTAGATGTTGGGAAATTTAAGTTTGATAAATAGAAGTTTGTTGGATCTATTTTTAGCTTGAGCATACTTACACACTACAGGATTATTATTTATTGTACACGTGTATACAATGATTATAATGTTGCAGGTATATGTGAGTGGCTGAAATATGGTACAACTAGAGCTATGATTTTACTGTGTTACTAATATCTTTTTTCAAGGAATCCTAGGATAGCAAATCTTATGTAAAATAAATGATTAAAATTTACCCATATTATGTTAAGTACTTTATATTGTGCTTTGTGATACATTGATATCATTTTTATTGTCGTCTTGTTAACGGTGATGATGAATAGAGTTCTAGGCTTACACATCACTCATTTATAGGTTAGGCTTAGAATGAAAACACATCTAGTTGTTGATTCTAGTTGGAGGAATGATTGAGCATATGGGCTCATCATGCTGGACATATATAGATGATATTGACATATGACATGTCAGCTTGCCTTGCTTACTTTCATCATATTATGTTATTGTGAGTCTGCTTATAATACAGGATATAGGACCATCTTATGATAAATAATTTAGACGTAGGCTTTACACAGGCATTTACTCCAACTAGTCAGTTTAGGATATGTCAATCTTCTCTTCATTTTGGGATGATCCACTCTTCATTTTCACATGCAACTTGGTGAATTTGATGGCATTCTTAACCCAAATAAGATGTAAGTATTTGCTTTTTATCTTCTTTATCAATTGAGAAGGTAGTTGAACTTTTTTAGTCACACGCAACCAATTTGTCCCATTTCAACTCTTCTACCACATTGTGTAGATGTCTGGGCTTGCCTGATCCTACACGATCAAGCTATAAGGCTCATCATTTCCATCATTCCCTTATACTTTTCATCATTCCACGTCGTTCTTTACCTTTCGTACTCCTTTACCACATTTGGGCTTTTTTGGTCGCATGCGTCTAAGTTATAAACACAGTTCTATATCTTCTCTTGCAAATTGAGGAGTTGTCTGAGTTTCTTGATCATATGAAACCAAATAGTAAGTTATATTACTTAGGTGTCTCCTCTACCACATTTAGGCAACATCCAAATCTTTCATATACATTCTATCTTCTCTCTTAACTTGAGAAGATATTAGGGTAATCTCGATCCTTCATGATTTGAGTTATGAGCCCATCTTTGGTTTCCTCTCTATTACATTAAGAAAATATCCATCTTGTGTACCTTTCAGCTTTAAAGCATAGGTAGCCTTGTTAATATTGGCAGAAATCACCATGTGGTACTATATGTCCAATTTGGGTTTCACTTTCATATGTTAGTCTAGTGTAATTCCCATGCGTTAGTCTAGGATTAGGTCTACGCGCCTTGGTCCATGAGGTCCCCTTGGATGAGATAAATATTTGCTAAAAATATCCTTAGGTTGTCACATGACTAAGTAAATTAAGGGCACTCATGAATCTGGGATGATAGAATAAGGTGATCTTGATCGTGGACCTCATCCTCACATGGTAGGTTAGTACTCAATTTCTTACAGCCGCTCATTCTTTTTCTCCTAGGTATGTGTTGTCACATGGCATCGTAGGTCTAGCGTTGTACATCTCCCTCTATTCAATATGGAGCTACAAATCCCTTTCCATCCTCTTTGGTTTCTAGGATTTCCTACTTATCCTCTATGGAGACCATAGGGTTCATTCCGACTTTGACCTGACCAAATTTTCATCATAATATTTGATTTGAAAGCACTACTTAATTAAGAGTGTTCTCAAATACACTTCGGATTTAATTAACTATAGGGGTTAGCGCATTTGAGAAACCTCAACTTTCATGATTAAAATAAAATTTGTTTGGAGCAAATATTCTTTGCAGGGAAAATACCTAGGATAGATACACTCGATCCACCTTCCATTGATTACTACGAACCTATAGGATGATCAGCTATGACCAGCCTTTTACTGTAGTGCCACAAGCATCTTTCAAAGCCCACACGGATATGCATACTTTTTTTTTTCTACCTTAATGAAGTGACTTGTAATTCAAGATATGGCAACCATTCAGTACAAATGAACAAAAGGTGATACTGTTTTGCATTAATTTAGTTTTAGTTTTCTTTATAATCTAAGTTGTGTTTGATTGTTTTGATGGCATTCATACTTCCACAATATCAACATTAATAGTTTTTTTACAGCCTCTTAGAAATAAAACAAAGAAACTTAAGTTAATCCTTCTGCTCATAATTGGTTGAGAACTGCTCATAGCAAGCGTGCTAGTAACTTAGTTGATCGTCTGATTTCCCTTCATGGAAATTACCCTTGTTCTTTCTTCTTTGTCAGTCTTGGTAAGCAGCATGTTGGCTACAGTCGTTTGGACATGCCAGTGCTAAAGCTAAGTGTTGTTGGCGGTCGGCCATTTTCTTCAGGAGGTGACAAAATATTTCGGCCAAAGCTTCTTTCTCAAAGGTTAGTAGATCTTGAATTAATTGTAGTGACTTCGTTTACAAGCATTCATGTAGCAGCCGGATTCTTTTACTATGCTGTTTGGTCTTGGACTTTTTTCGTTTTTTATTTTAAAGGTCTTTTCCTAATGATATTGCTAGTAGCATATTTTCCATAGGTTGAAGGTCTACGATGTGTAGCCATGATTTGCAAACCTACATAAGCTATTCAAAGCATGTGATAATTTCTTGTAAAAGTTAACCATGTTCTTGCTCATGGCACTTCTACGTGCTTTGCCTTATTGTCATCACTTAAAGAAAGCTCATTTTTTGTCATTTTAATGGTTATAAAATACTAGAAGGTGAATTATTTGACAGGTTACTCTTCTGTTGTTTATTCCATGAAGACGGCTCACCGGTTACAATTCTCCCTTTAAGGAGCTGTTTTGTTGTATGAAATAAGACCCTCTCTTCTTTAACGGAAGTGTAAAGTAATTAAATGAACTTTTAGTTTTCATAAAACATTTATTCAGATTTGTATAATTACTCGACGATGCTCATTCTTTGCAGTTGCATTCCTTTCTAATTTGAAGAAATATTTTACATAGATAAAAGAATTTGAAAGCGACGGTTTTCAGGTTGTGGAATTAGGGGTATTCATCAAAATTTTGCACTTAAATCGTCACCAGCTGAACTGTCAATTGTTATTGTTCCTTTTATTTATTTATTTATGCTTTTTTTGCAGGAGTTCATGACAGAATTGTATGTTTCACTATGCTATTATTATGGTTCTGGATTATACCCAATCTTACTAATATGTAATCTCTAGATATGAGCTGGGGGATCAAAGTGGGATTTGAGTATGGAAAGTGAGAGCTCTATGTTTGCTGTAAATGAGAAGTGTGAAATGTTGAGGGGACAAGAAATGCCTAGAGATCTAGAGAGTCTCAAAGTAAAAGGTTCCAAAGATCCAAAATATGTCTTATTGAGATTCTCCACTAGCCGGAGGAGGTGTCTGCACTTTTTGGTATCATGCTCATGATCCTTGTAGAATACACAATACTTAGAAGTATCTCTAGTGTGAGCGCCCGCCTTTATGGGTGGTGGGCATTTGAAGAACTTATTTTGAATGACATTGATGAGTTTGGCCACTGACACCCACATCGGAGTTATGGCAGGGTATTGGTTGATAGAGGGTGTACCTTCTCTGCAACCTGCAACACGCAATCCACAACATGCAACACGCAACATGTAACATGCAACACATAACCCACAACAAACAACACGTAACACCAAACCCAAAACACTCAAACCTTCAACACGAAACCTATAGCACACAACTCTAAACCCTATTTTTGTTTGTTATATTATGACGTAGTCAAGTCTATATAGAATGCAACAATTGTGATGATTGAACTTCATTGTGTTCAAGTGGGGCTCTAGGAGTAATATTAGAGGTGTACTATAGTATGTATTTTTTAAAGTGGAGTTATGTTATAAATAGAATTTATTTATTTCTTTATTAAATTATTAATTTTTTACATATAAATCAATTTGAATATGATATAATATAAGAAACTATACCATATTTTACTGCAATATAATATGACAATATATTATAATATATAATAGTATATTATGATATGCATTTGTATGTTATAGCATTTGGATAAGTGATGAGAAATGATCCAAGAGAAAGACTACTGAAAGGATCCTCTGACTTAGTAGTTCATCCATAGATGGCCAGAAATAAAAGTGCTCACCTCAATGCCCAATGTTGACCCTACTCATAGTCACACCAATGGTGAAGACTATGATCCCCCTCGGCAAGTGCAATGAAGAAAACCCGAGCTAATCAACTTATACTCTAGAGAAATAGCTTAGGCAAGGTTGCCTCTAAAGTTCAAGATGCCCAATCTCGAATCCTATTTGGGGGGAACCAGCCTTGCTAACCATATCGCTTAGTTCGAGTCAACAATGTCACTATTTGACATCAACAATATTTTGGAGTATTGATTATTTTTCATCACCTTCAAGGAGATAGCCCTTTGGTGGTTCAGTCGCTTGCCACTAGGCATATTCACCTTATTCGTCAAATTCAAGATGATGTTCATCACTCAATTTGCAAGCACCCATAAACTTCTAAGGAACTTGCAAGCTCTATTGAAGACGTGTCAAGACTCATATGTATCTTTGCAAAGACTCATTGTTTGATTCCAAATGGAGATGTTGGAAATGAAATATTTGGAGCCTGCTATCGCTCAAGCTGCCTTAACACTATTCCTCCGTGAAGACTCCTTCCATTATGCTCTATGACTGCATGAACCCTTAATATTGGTTAACTACTCGAACTCGTCGACAATCATGTCAAGACGGAGTACAACTGCATGGTTGAGGCGCCCTTGATCACTCACCTCAGAGAACTGGCCATGAGGCCCAAACGACACCATAATTGTGAGTGCGACAAGAGTCTTCCTAAACACCAAAAGGCTGATAGAAGGCCACATGCACCATTAATTTGTCATCATCTTAGGCAGTCAAGGATGCCCTTGCAGGCTAGGCTACTCAGATCACTAGGCCGCCTAGTCCGCAAATGGAGGAAGCGTCGCAAGCCACTTTCCCATACATGTTGAGGGTTACGTGTTGTGGTTTTTAGGGGTTTAGGATTTAGGCCTAAGGGTTTAGGCTTTAGGGTTCAGGGGTTAGGGTCTAGGATTCAGGGTCATGTGAGAGAAATTATGGAATGAGTGTCCTCCTTAGAAGTTACACTAATGGGTTAAGGTTTAGGCTTTATGATTTAGGATTAAAGAGTTTTTATGGTAGTGGGGGTGAACCCCCTTAAGTAAAAAAGATTGGATATGGTTGATTTTTATGGTTTAGGGTTTGAGTGTTGCATGTTGTGTGTTGTGTGTTGTGTGCTGTGTGTTGCGTTGTACGTGTTGAGGGTTTGAGGGTTGAGGGTTGTGTGTTGAGGGTTTGGGGGTGGAGGGTTGTGTGTTGCAGGTTTTGTGTTGAGGGTTTCAATATTGCATGTTGCGTGTTATGGGTTTCGAGTTGCGTGTTGCATTTTATGTTAGGGTTTCAGGGTTTTGGATATTTTGTTCATGGTTTGCTTTAGGATTTAGGGTTGAGGATTTTTAGAATTTTGGGGGTGAAAGCCCTTAGGTAAAAAAGTTTTGGATATGGGGTGTAAACCTCCTTATGATAAAGGGTTGGATATTTATTAAGAAGCTCCAAAATTTAGCGTACTCATGTGAGTGCACTATTGGGATTGGTGATCTTCTAAGAAGTTTCGCATTTTCAATAGGGTTAATTAAGGATTTTATGGGTCGGGGTCGGAGGTCGGGATTCAAGTTGAGGGTTGAGGGTTTTAGAGTTTGCGAGACTTTTTTTTCATCTTCATGAGGTCATGGCGAGTGATGTAAACGGGGTTCTCCATGTTCGTCGATGGTGTGAGGTTGTGTTGTTATTTTAGATGTGCTAGTCTTTTAGTCACTAGCATCAATCCACGCTTACCACATTTTTGCAGATGTTAGATCTGATTTTTTTTTTTGATGATACCTGACCTTACTAACATGTAATCTCTAGGTACGTGTAGGGGGATCGAGTGGGATTTGAGTATTGAGATTTAGAGTTCTATGTATGTTATGAGCAATGTTAACTCTAGAGAAGACGAGAAATGCCTATAATAGATATAAAGAGTCTCAAAGTAATTAAGGTTCCAAAAATTCAAAATATATTTTCACCCTTTGTTTTATTAAGTTTCGAGGGCTACAGTAAAGGCCGCACTTAAGAAAATAATAAATAATATAAAGTGCAGTGTACGATATGATTTATTACAAATTGTCATAGACATACGGTCTAGTTAATTGGCCTCCTTATGTATCTCTACTTGTAATAGATCCCTCGGTCTCTGGGTGAGTCCTTTGTGCAAGTTTTCATGGGTAAGTATATTGGGCAAGTTCTCGGAGCCCTGTCTATAGGGTTAGTTTGTGAAGCTAAATCCTCTGAACGTGGTGGCAATTAAGTCCATTGAGACAAGATTCAGACCCCCAGAAAGTGAATTGGCAAGTTCTCCTGGGTATGAGTGGTCAAGGGTTGAGGAGTGACTGGGCTCTAGAGATTGTAGTTGTAGCCTTTGAGACCTTTGTATTTCTTGTAATTGGATTGGGGATGCTGGTGGTGGCCAAGAAGTCTTTACTATGTTATAATCGTGGATGAGCAGTTCTTGCTGATGTGAGTGACATCTGAGACTTGGATGAGTTTGGACGAGTCCTCCTGAAAGACTTGCTTTAAATGGAAACTCCTTGGTCACGCTTGTCCAGGCAATTCTTCACGTTCTCACCTTGCCTTAAGAGTTGTAACACCCCACAATACCTCTTAACAGTATTGTAGAGTGAACATACATAACATATTTTTTTTCTCAAAACATTTAATACAATTTCTTACATTGGAAATTCATATAAAACATCTAACCATATTGCAATTGATACATCAATGGAAGCAACTAATAAATTAAAACTTCAATAAACATACTTATAGAGCCACTAAGAAAATTCAAATAAAATTCATTTATGCAATGTTTTCATACCTCACAAGTAGACTCACTAACAAAGATAACCAACAAAAAAAAGAAGAAATAACTTATGAAATTAATCTTCAACGACCTTCTCCTTTCCCTTTTCTGTAATAACAGCTAGTAAGAAAATATTGGTGAGCTATGAGACTCAATAATTTATGCCAAATAAATAACAATTATAATATAATACTATAAAGAATTATAACATTGAGCTAATCATTGAATTAATTTACCACTGTTTGCAAAATATCATAAAGTCATATTGGCATCATTCATAGGTCAATTGAGGTAGATACTGAATATTTAGTATTTTAAAAGATTTGGCTATACTTCCATAAACATATTCAATGGAGCCCAGGTGGGCATGACATTATCACCATTGAATTTTATAGATGTTACTTTTATCTCTCTAGGGGTATCTTTTGCACCACATGCTATGTAGACATTTAGTTTCTATGGGGTCCATTTTGCTCCATCCACAATACATGTTTCATAATTGGGTCCCTTTTGTCCACCTGATATCATAAAATAGAATAGTCAATCTTTACTAAATAAATATTCAGTAATCCTTGCATATTCATAATTCATAATTGAACAAAGGGTTATAGACTGATCAACATGTTATAATCATAAATCTGATTTATGATGAGTTTGATATCCATTACTTTCAACCTTGATTAACAAACACCAAACCAGTTTAATCATACATAGTTGTTTATCAAATCTCACATATTTTCATGAATAGACAATTGTGAATACCTCAATGTATTCTCAAGAATATTAATAAAATTTGCATAATGCAAGTTAGTTATCACTACAATCCCAAGAATTTAGGAAACAACCCAACAATTTACAATCATTGTAATTATAACAAATTTACATAACTTACCTCTTTGATAAATTGTCTCCTCCAATTCTTTACTACGGACTCTTCTACTATTGTAAATCACCGCGAAACCTTCTCTTTGCATGTATGTATCGGATGAATCCTAACCTTACAATGGTTATACACTTTTACAGAACTTTCCTTAACATTTTAAAATTCTATAAAATCATTAAAGAAGTTAGATCTCTTACATCAATAGTTCCTACTAGGGGTGTAAGTGAGCCGAGCCGGCTCGCGAGCTGGCTCGAGCTCGACTCGTTAACGAGCTCATTAAAAATTCGGATGGATGAGAAATCGAGCGGCTCGCGAGCCGGCTCGAGCTCGTTTATAGTTTAACGAGCTCGAGTTCGAGCTCGTTTTTCGAGTAACGAGCTGAGCTCGATAATGCTAAAACTCGACTCGTTTACACCCCTAGTTTCCTCTTCTTTTGTTTTAACAAAATTCTTTACTGCAATTCCACTCTTAAATAATGTTGTAGAAATCAGCAAGCATAAATAATACTCCAAAATTCCTGGTTAATTAATCTAAATTTAAACATAATTTTACTTACCTAATTTTGCACTTCTTTAATCTTCCTTTTGTATTCTACATTCCTTCACATCCTTCCAAAGTTTACTATTTTCAAATCAGTTTACCTTCATATCAAACTATAATTCTTCATATAAATCTAAATCAAACATAGAAATCTTGGTACCATATTTCTAATAACTTTATTTTACTTACATGTGCTGTGTTGATCTTATGTTTGTACTTTCTTCTCCAATATTTTCTTTAGTTGAACTCTTCTTCCTCTCATCAGAAACTTCTCCACAATAGGTTTCACTGTGCTGAAATTTGCTACCGTGTTATTTGGACACCCCACTGAAGTCTGCTACAGGAATCTTGCGAATTTCTCTTCAATAACTGCGACTTCTTCTACAGTCCCGCAGTGCAAATTCTGCTCATTGCTACAGTCCCGCAGTGCCATTTCCGCCCATTGCTACTGGAAGCTATCTGAAACCTGCTCTCTGATGGCTTGCGATTATTCTCAACAGAGAAGGGATTCATATGTTTTTAAGCAACATTTAGATAAGAATTTCAGTGAGGGCCCACATACAAAACTGCTTAACTGCTCCCGTAAGTCCTAAGGAAGCATCTTTTCGGATAATTATTAATGCTATTTATTTTAATTTTAACAGTACTTAAATAATAAGATAAGATAATAAATTCTTCTTAAATAAAAGTTAAATTTTATTACCTGGAATTTAGGTATTACAAGAGTGGCTATAACTCTCTGAAGTAATGTTGACCTGCTTGTTTGTTGGTCGCTTTTCTTTGCAGTGAGTGCTTTTCCTGAGGGATCGAGTTATTCAGACCAAGTCTCTCACTTAGAACATGTTAGATTTTTGTGAAGTATCGTATGAGCATGTATGATAACACAATTATAAAGTTATGTCTCGGAAAAATAACACAACCTCTTATCCTTTGCAATTCACTTAGTTCGCTATAATGACAATGAGTACTTGATTTAGGTAAAGGACAAGTGGGATTTTATGCCTCGAATATTCACATTAGCATTTGGCAACTTTATACGTAAGGGCTAACCAAGATACTGATCTTTTATAAATTCTCCGTTACAAATTAAATCTGGTGTGGGACTCTGTAGTTTCTATGACTGGCCTCTTAAATCTTGAAACTTTAAATGACTTCCTAAACAATATATTTAGTTATTGCATGCCATCCCTAGGTTTATAAAATTGAATTTCAATTAAGTAAGAAATAGAAATTATAGTCAGCAGGAAGGATTACATTCAACCAATGTCCGAAAACCCAAACCTACTTGTCTTGGTCATCAATGACTCATTTAGAATCACTTGACTTGGTCTTTGAAGTGCGTTTTTGATCTATTCAATGAGTAATTAAACAATGAATTGTTACTTGTTATGAGTCATGCATGCTGGACAACAGGGTTGGACACTGGACCAGTGGCGAATTTAGGCGGAAAGCATCTGCCTTGAAGCCGAAACCCGCCTCTACCAGAAATCCATCCTCTTCTCCTCCACATCCTATGACCCATCAAGTCCGAACCCGTAGACGACGCTCTCCTCGCCGGCAAGCCTGAAACTGACTTCTTCCTCAGCATCTAGAACTCCAAGGTTGGCGACGCCTTCAAAAAACCATTACCTACTCTCCGTTCTGCTGCCGAGCAGGTTGTGGATGAGGCGACGGCACCAACGATGGAGATCAAGTGTTGCGCATAGGTGGGAGTTGTGGGTCCTTCAGGGCATGATTCATCGAGCTCCAATGAAGTCGATAAGATGTCGGATGAGACTTACCAAATTTATCTCAACCTTGCTGGCGACGAAACTAGGGCTTTTCCACGGCCAAATGGTTAGCTTCTCTCTCTTTTCAACTGATTTCAAAGTCTTGCTAAAGTTACCTTTATTTAGCTAACTTGATTTTATCATTTTAACATTTAAATCCCATTGAAAAATTTCCGCACTCTCTTTAGAGTGGAGTTGAAATGATTTGGAGAAGTTTGCCATGATGCGAGTACAGGTTAGGGCTGAAGTAGGGATTTCTACTTGTTTCTCTAAATAAACTTCTGAGTTTAGGGCTGCAGTAGGGCTTTCTAGTTGTTCTCTAAATAAACTTCTGAGTTTAAAGAACACTTCTGCTATCATTATAAATAAACGTTGAATATTCAGACTATCTTTCTACTTTGCAAAGGATATTATACGGTTAAAGCTTTGATTTAATACTTCTATTCGGTTATTTGTCAATTGTTTGAGTAATTTGCGTTACGTTTTGTTCTGACCACTAGGATTTTGGAGATTGTAATGATCTGTAACTATTTTTATCCAGGAATTGCTTGTAGTTCATGGATAAAATTATACTTTTTATCCTACAGCCACTTCCTAAAGTTTTATACTTCGCAGCCTTAACTTCTATATCTCTCATTTAATGCATTATTACACAATTTTCAGCCTTGTTGATATTGTCCGTCTTTTTCCATTTATCCAAGGTACGGGGTTCGTAATTTGGAAGAAAGCAAAAAGAAAATCATCAATGCTGCTTTAGGAGCACCTGATGGCCATAGTTTGATTTTTCTTGCCCACAATGGTCCTTCAGGTTCTCAATCTCACCTTATCATTTCCCGTCCTAAAGAAATCATAGCATCTATATCATACTCTATTAGGGAATAAATAATATATTGAATGTTTAGTGGATATTGAGTTGTCATTAGTTTATTAGGCTATTAAGTTATTAGTGGGTTCTTATGTTTTCTTGTAGGCTATAAATAAGCCTCTTAAGAAGAGTTAGGGAGGCATAAAGATTGCAAAAATATGAAACCCTTGAGCTTTGCTAATCTCCTCTTCTCCCCCCAAATATTAGTAGTTCAGTCATTCTGCACTATCAAAAGCCTTCTCCCCTAGCTATCAGGAGCTATAAAAATGCTTCAAATTCTATAGTTTTTCATTTTCAATGTAGTTTTTTTTTTGTTATGTCAATGGCTTTCTCATCTTTACTTTCACGATGACCTATCTCTTACTAATCAACTTATTTATAACCTACAAGAAAATATAAAAACTCATTAATAATTTAATACACAACTCATCTTGGTCTATTGATTAGGAAGCTTTCAACTAAGAGGTATTGGGTACGAGTCTATCTTAATTGGCCTAAATGTCCAAAAATAATAATAATCTAATAACTTGATAATAACCTAATATCTATTAAATACCCATTACATTATTTGTTCCCCAAGATACTCTCTTGAGACGTGCTCACATTGCAGGATTAGGTTCGAAAATCGATGATATATGTGGAAAAGATTGGGTTTTTGGAGGCGGCGACCATGGCGATTCAGGTAAAATCTTTTTCTTAACTTAATCTCCATCATTTTCCTATCTCCCATCTTCCAGATAAACACTGCTAAGTTCTAGAATTTAACAAAACCAAATTGCAGACCTTGCCCAGGCCCTGCTTGAATTGAGGAGCAAGCAACTCCCCATCCCCTTAGTTGTTTTTGGCCACATGCACAAAGGACTGGCATATGGAGGACTCAGGAAAATGATTGTGGTTGGAGCCGATGGTACCATTTACTTGAATGGAGCCATCGTCCCTAGAGTGAAGAATCTTCATGGGCGAGCTGGAAGCTCTAAAACTAACAATGAACTTCACCCAGAGGTTAGAAATGAGGATGGCACTGTGAGAGCCTTCAGCGTTGTAGATATTGAGAAAGGAAGGGTGAAGAAGATTTCAGAAACTTGGATTTTGGTTACCAGTAAAAGAACTGCACTTGAACAGGAAAACATATTGTTTCAGAGACCTTAAGTAGAGGTAATCACTTTTTGCTGTCTTGTTTTATCATCTGTTATCTTGCATATAGATTTGTCATATAGCGCTTGTTCCTTACATATGATAGTCAATTTAGCAATCATGTGAAGAACTATTGTACAAACAGTCAAATAATCCTTGAGCTTAATTGAACATCCACAATGTCTACATTAGATTCTTATGATGTAAATGCAACCTTATGAAGACAAATCCTAAACTTCTAAGAAAAATAAGAATGATAACTTTTTTTTCCTTAAATGTATATAGAAAAATAGTTTTGCATATTTTTTGATGCATGGAGAAGAATGAACAATTCAACTTCAGTGATGTCTTCTTCATTTGTAGTATGAATGAAGGGATGTCAAAATCAGGTTACGGGTCGGGTCTGGGTCCAATCCAGAATTGACCCGCATTGTTTGACCCGACCTGAACTCGACCCGTTTTTGTAAATGGGTCGGCTTTTCGGACTCGAATCCGACCCGCTTCGGATATAAAAAAAATTTATTTAATTTGATTTATTTAAACCTAAATCAAATTAAGATAAGATTTACTTCAATCATTTTAAAATAAACCAAGCTTAATTTAGTTTGGACAACATGATTTATTATTTTCTTAGAAATAGCATTTATTTTATAACATTTTTTTAAATCCCTTCTAAATTAATTAAAAACAGGTCAAACTGGGTTGATGCAAATTTTCGGGTCAATTTGAACCCGACCCGGTTTTACAAATAGGTTGAAATCCCAAACCCAAACCGGCCTAACATGAACTTGACCCGGTTCGGGTTTGGGTTGATCCGAACCCAAATTTTCGGATTGGGTCAAATATTGACACTCCTATTGAATGATCTCTGGTGAGTATTTTATCTATTCTATTCATGCGCTTAAAAGTTCATAGTGTCTATTTTCTTATAAAAAGAAGGTTGATTGATTCCTATTCCAAAATACCCTTTGTTTGAGGATAAGCTTTAATTTTAGTCATTATGATTCTTTCCCATGTGCCTAAGCCTAAGCCTATGCACTATAAAGTTTCGTTCGGGATAGTTCTCTTACTATTTTATAAATTAGTTTTTTAGTATATTTTTTTTTTAACTTGAAAATTTTTATACTAAAAAACTGTTTTAAAAATCAATAAGAAAGCTGTCTGAAACAAATTCAAAGTTACCTTTGTACCATTGTAATACTAATTATTGATTGATCTTTTGCTATATAAAATATTGGCAACTTGTGAAGTAAAGGTTACAGCAACTTTAATTAATGTGGAAACTTATCCTCAGTGCATATGAGGGAATTCATAAATGTAATGAAGTTCTTCATGATAAGGTTACAAGCGAAAAAAGCAGTTCACTATTGTCAAATCATGATTGAAGCAAAGCATGATAAGGGTCTATAGGCTTTGGCAGAAGTGTTTGAAAGTGATTGGTTCTAATTTTTGGAAAGTTAGTTTTATTGAAATGTTCTTTGGTGAAGTTTGTTTGCTTTGGATTAGCTCATTTCATGGAATTATTTGGTTACTTCAATAGTTTTTTGAATTAGAGATGTTGCTAAGTCAAATAAGTTTAGGTATTGGCTCGTGTGCGCCTATATAAATGGTTTATAATAAGCTCAAACTCGTAGAATCAAGTGCAAGCTCAAACCAAATTAATTAGTCAAATTTAAGCCCAAACTTCACTCGGCCCGTTTATACCTCCTTAATTTTGAAAAAATTGTTCTGTGCGGACACCGGACGTCGTTTGGAGATGAATCAGGATGAGTCACGTCACCTTTTTGTTGTGTATCGGATAATGTGGTGTATTTTGATTTGCGTTTGAACGGTCCGGCGTCCGCACAGAATAATTTCTGAACTATGTTGTGAGCTATATTTTTCTTTTCATCCTCCCTTCAATTAGTTTATTTTAAGTAAAAGGATGTAATAGCAAGCATACCCTATTGGGCATAACCATCACCATAGGAGGAATATCAGTAAACATTTTTATAATTGTTGAAACATCCATATTTGGGTGGATTAAACCATTACTGCAAGCATTTATTATTTCTTTCCTCTATTACTTCTGACTGTAATTCCTCTTTGTAACTCTATATCCATTTTTGCTCCTTTGCATCAAATCGATAATGGCCAAAGAGAATTTGAGATATTTATTTATTTTAGAAAATTTTGATTCCCATCTTGATTAATAAATCAAATATGTGTTTTTTACAACCAAAAAAAAAAAAAAAATCAAAACATGCTTAACAACCCCCTGAATTTGTTATGAGATTAGTGCATTTCTTTGATATCATATATAACGCTAATCTCAAAGCAATTCTAACCGTAATTATCCTTCATGACATAAAACTTGATCAGAACACATAGAAGTATCAGAACATTCCGATTCAAATTTTTTCATGTTTCCTTCTCCTTTTCTTTCATAACTTTCATTTAAAAAGAATTTTCAATTTTATTTATTTATTTTCTCCGCATATCGGTGACCTAAAACTCATGACGATCATCCTAATTGACTAAAAGAATAATTGTACAAGAAATATTAATATCCTATGAGCATTACATTTGGGCACCACCTCAAATTTAGTGGCAAAAAAACAAGTAGGTCCCAAATTCAATCATATAAAGATAGAGCATTTACCTCCTCATATTCAATTCATTATTGACCCATTGAAATGATATGTCCCCTTCCATCACATGTTTTCTTCATTCATTACAAACCAAACATTGGACTTTTTAATGCATTGTTTGTTCATTAATCAACAAATTCATGATCATGTCACAAATCTAGGAACATATACTACTCATATTCCTCACCAAACTATCTACTCACAATGTCTTTTAATGCTTCAAGTTGTTCAAATTTAGACTTTTATAACTTTGTTTTCACAATAAAAAGTCAAGACTTTTTTTTTTTGTGCTTGAAAACTAAAATAAAATATATATAAATAATATTTTTGATAAAAAATAGTTATTTATATATTTTTGGAATGATAAAATTAATTTATATTATCCCATTAAAAATTGTTTTGGCTCTGTTGTTGGTCAATTCTGAAATTATATTAATTAGAAATTATTATGTAAGTAACAAATTAAAAAAGAAAAAGAAAAGGAGAATTTGTGGTTCATAAATCATTTCTTCTTTCTTTATTTCTAAGAAGGGTTATAATGTGGGCAATTTTTAGGACTAAGCAAGATTAAAAAGGTAATTAGAATATTAAGCATCATTTTTTAATTTAAAAGTAGGCATAATCGCTCGTTTGACGGGGGATTAGTGATTAGGCATAATCGCTCGTGTATATAAATCGTCCGTCAAACGGGCGATTTAGGCTTGTTTAAAACTCCACCGAAAAATCCCTAGCTACAGTCACTGTTTGGCTTCTCCGACCCAGTCGCCTTCGCCCGTTGCCTCTCATCTGGATTTGCTATTTTAGGTAAATAAAAATATTTTTTTTAAAAAAAATAAAAATTTATATATTTGTATTGCTTTCCTAAATAGAAGGTAGAATACGGGGAAAAAAAGTAAACGCACCATGTAAAATTGTGAAATGAGGTGGTTTTAGGTGATGCCTATTTTATATGTGTTTTTGTATATATCTTTGGATAAATCATGCAAAAAGTGAAGGATTCATGAGTGTTATGTATTTTATAGGTTTGTTAATACTTAATCATGAAAAATGGGGAATTGTTCAAGTTCAATACTTATGTTATTATTTTCGATACTATTTCGGTATTAATTTAATAGAAAAAATGAATTTATTATGAGTTGTTGGGACTATATGTTAAATTTGTAGAAACCAATGAGCATACTCTTTTGGTATTATTTTTGTTTGGTTATTATTTTTTCTAATATAATTATTAATTATTTTTGTTAAAACTTATGTAGATAATTGAGTCCTTATTTATTTGCATTAATAATTATTCATTGTTTTTAATAGATATCATATAATTTATGATATTATTGGTAAATATAACTATATGAAAATAGTTTCAAATTTGTCATTGAAAAAATGGTGGACTTTTTTGTTAACTTTTTTATTATATATCATATAATTTTTTATATTATTTTGGTTTATAATGGATATCATAAAAAAAATATTTATATTACCATTTATAATATTTATATTTAATGAGTTAATGATAATATTAGCATAGTGAAATATTAATAATTGAAATTCTGTTGGAATATAGTGTGGAATGTAACAAAGTTAATATTTGTCTTGATAAAATAAAAATATAGTTTCAAATTCATTGTAAATGTAGGTATTCAAAATGAGTGCACGGCCGCCATCTTTTATGTTATTATATGACGGAGAGTTATCCCTAGATGATAATTTTTTGTCAACTTATATTGATGGTAAATGTCGGACCCTCCAAGTTCCATTCAAGTCGACTTTGAAACAGTTAAGTGATAGGGTTGTTAGGGCGTTGAAGTACGATCCCTGAAAGTTCACGGCGTCAATTGTGGGTCATTTTCCCGTGAATAATCAATTCATGGTCTCAAAGGTTGAGGACGATGAAGGTTGTGAGTTTATGTTGTCATTGGCTGCTTCTGAAGTTTTAATTCTATATACTGAGGTTGAGGAAATTCATGATGATATTAATTTGGATGAAGATCTGTCAACTTAAATTCTTGATAATTTTTTTTTCAAAAAATTATCTCTAAAGATGCGCTACAAAAATTATACCGATTTATTTTATCAATGCACAATTTATAATTTCCGAAGAAATTAAGTGAAATATTCTCTTTACAACTTCTATCAATGCATTAATTAGTAATTATTAATTATATCACGTGGCCTAAACAATCTAAAACAATTTTAAAAAAAAAAAAAATTGGATAAGGATAACTCGCACATTTAAATTTCACTTTTTTTAAAAAATCAAGAGTCCAAAATCGCCCGTTTGAATGGCGATTTCGGCCTGGTATGTTAATCGCCCGTCAAACGGACGATTATGTCTTAACTCACAATCGCCCATTTAACGGGCGATTATGCTTACTTTTAAATTTTAAAAAAAATGATGTTTAATGTCCTAATTATATTTCTAATCATGCTTAATTCTAAAAATTCCCCTTATATTGTAGGCATAATTATCAGAGCTTAGTAAACTAGTTTTAGGGAATAATATTGAGTAAATAAACATTTCCCTTAAGGTTTCATTTGGGGCAGATTTCTTACTGTTTTTTAAA